TGCTACAGGTGGTGTTCAGTGCAGTGCAGTTATCGTGGCTGAGTGCAGAGCAGGCGTGGGCCGTCACAGAGGAGCAGTGGGCAGAGCTGGACGCAGAACAGAGGCACGCTGTTGGACTGGCTCGCTACGAGGGAGACGTCCTGATGGAGCTCAGAGGTGTGTTCTTGTTTTGTTTTCTGAGAAAACACCGTGTGAGCTCAGTCGTGATGAATTCTGCTCCATGTTTTCTGCAGGACGAAGCTCTTCTCCGTCAGTCCTGAACGCAGACAGCTTCGCTCTGTGCTCACTGGCTCTGTGCCTTTTGTTACAGCAGCTAATTTAAAATAATGGGGGGGGGAAAAAATTGATTCTCACATTGACTTCTCCTGGTATTGTATTTGTAATGCAAATAAATATTTTCAATTACCCCACTCTTCATTGTGATGGCGTCTGAATTTACAAAGACATGAGATGTGCTTTGTAGCGTCATATGTTTCACTTTTATGAGATTTATTAGCTTAAAAGGATGTAAATCACTATTCGCGTTGTTGTGCAATGTTTATTGACCTTTTGTTCGAACAATAACAACATGCGGTGACAGTGATTAATGTTTATTTGACAGAGGAACAGGCTTTCTAACATTTGTACAGCATAACCAGGGAAATAAACCTGAGAGGAGATTTTATTGCATGCAGGGAACCAAACTGGAACAGCGAGAACAGAAAAGGAATCAGCAACCTGTAATAGACCATTAAAATCTCGCACACGTTCAGTAATAACTCTTGTTTGCTCAGGCTCCTGGAGCCCTTCGTGTGTAATGCTACCCCTCGTCCTCTGTGCAAATTCAGCAAATGTAGTGTGTGGATTTATTTGAACTTCGAAATTTGTCCTCTGCAACACTAATTAGGTTTCTGGGTGTGTTTCTCTAACCCAAAAGATGCAACGTTCATACATTTATGTTAGGATAAAAGATTCAATTCTGGGTAAAATAAAGAAAAACAGCATCCAGCTGGAGGCATTAATGAGGTTAGATCTTCTGTGAAGCTTTGTGCTAATTAAACCATTTTACTTAATGTGATTTAGTACATCTAATTGTATGCTATCTAAATTCAGACCTTATTTTTTTACTCATTTAATGTAGTTGCAGCTACATTCAAAAGTCAATTTTCTCAAGTAGCTTATGACTGTTAATAGGTAACTTACCTTTAAGTCACTTCAGTTAACTTTAGTCTGTCACGCCATTCAGTTCCACCTACTGGCAGACCGCTGGAAGTGCAGAAAACCTTATTTAAAACAGCAGCTGGAAAACAGTGAGAAATACCATGCATCTCAAACCTACTGTAAGATCCTAACAGTGCAAAACATATTAGTAACAGCAAATAACAACTGAGGGCTAATAATTCTGAAAAAAATTCAAGTATTGATTTTATGATAGTAGAAATTGCCAATAATCTCCTAAATTGGAATCATGCGTCAGTGGCTGTTTAACATTAATGTGACACTATAATTTACTAAAAACCTCCTAAAACAATTTTAAGTATTGATATTATAAGCCAATGCAACTTAGATTAGTTGCATAGTTAGTATCTTTTCATTTTATGTAGCTTAAGCACAGCACAGCGACACCTCCAGGGCAGGTAGAAATGAAATTTAGACGATGCTCGGGCCATGCTGAAGCTCTTAACTCAAATAGTAGCAGGCTACTGCAGAATCGGTAAACAGCTTTGGAAATAAGTCAAATATTTCACACAGATCAGTTGGAGCAGGGATACATGCAGGACCTCTTTAAGACGCTGTGGTTGTTAAAGTGAGGACGATGATGTAGCTAAAGGTGGTGAAGATGCTGCTGTAACCGAATTTGCTGGCAGAGCTCCAGGAAAATATCCGATAGCTGGAGGCTCAAGAGCAACCTGTTCTAGTGTGTGAGTCTGTTTTTGGTGATCTTCTAATGACAAATTGTTCTAATTAGGTACCTAATTATGTGTGTATATATATATATATATATATATATATATATATATATATATATATGTATATATTATATATACACTTCTCCAAAAAATAAAGGGAACACTCAAATAACACATCCTAGATCTGAATGAATGAAATATTCTCATTGAATACTTTGTTCTGTACAAAGTTGAATGTGCTGACAACAAAATCACACAAAAATCATCAATGGAAATCAAATTTATTAACCAATGGAGGCCTGGACTTGGAGCCACACCCAAAATTAAAGTGAAATGTTCCCTTTATTTTTTTGAGCAGTATATGTAGCGCCAGAGGCTATATATATATGTAACATATTTTTATATCATAAAATTAAAGAGTGGGGAAGTAAGGAGGGCTGCAAAATGGACAGACTGAGGAGTTTGGAATGCAGCTCATTGAACTGAACAAAATTTGTCCTCAAAACACAATTTGAGGACATTTTATGTGTTTTTAACATAATATACACTTATCAAACACATATTACGAAGTCTAAGCATGCGGTCCACCTTAGTGAACATGGGAAAAACTCACTGAAGAAAAAGGTTAACTTTGTTGTCATTCTAAAGACCATTGAAATACTCCCCTTCTTGTGCAAGGACTCAATTCACGACTACAGGTGGTTGGTCGTAGAATAAAGGAGAGGTAAAGAAGATGAATTACCATTTAAAATATGTTTAAGCTAGTTTGGCACAGATCATCAAGTATAAGGCCAAAATTTTAATTTAGGAATAGGAGATTAAATTCCTTCACTCAAAATCCGACAGCGAGACTTTTATTTAGCTTGAGCCGAAATAAATCCATTTATGATGTTAATAACCTTCAATCACCCCCTTTCACTTCTTGGCATTGTGTGTTTTATTTAATCGATCCGTCAGAGACAAGCGGAGCCATGGTGGCGAATGAAATGAATTAAAAAGATGCAACACAGGTGGCCTCATGGATGGGAACCAGTTCAGAGTTGGCTGCAGGAACGACCCAGATGGTGCATATTTCAAATTAAAGTCAAGTTTAATCGTACTATCAAAACCTGTGTGACATAGAAAATATGTCTTTGTTTATCAATTTTAGAACAGGCAGCTAGCTGTGTGAAGAAAAATTAACTCCGGGTTAAGGTTTGATTGATGTACTTTATGTTGAACTTTTTAAAGTTTTGATGCACTTTTATTATTTTTTTTTTATTTGTTTAATTTATTTGCAGCCTAAAATAAACATGTCATAAATTAGTGCTTGTTTGCAGGGGTTTGATTGATTTATTAAGCAAGAATTGTTAATCACTTCAAAGAGAGGCTGCGAGCTGCAGGGGTCTCCTGACCTTGGGGATGAGCCCGGTGAGCCGATTCATAATCCTTTCATGCTGGCAACAGTTTCCACAGTCAGGATGATGCTTGTTGGCATACAGTCTGCTTGCTGGTTCTTTAGTGCATGTTTTTTCCCCACGATAAATTGACCGTCTGGCCGGCTGGCATCAGCCTGACTCACACAGCCTGCATGTCAGATGAGGCCTCTCATGTAGAATTTCAGCTCTTCTCCTGGAACCGGATCGTTTGATTCAATTCACTAACTAAGCCTGCAAATGGCTCCACACTTGCACTGCATTCCATTCGTACCATTAAGTGGGAATTTCCAAGTGCCAACCGATGGTGGCTTTGAACATGAGTGATATGGCACACTGACCAGGGCACCACTCCAATTGGGGGCGGCACACGTGAGGGCTGTTAGTTGTTGTTCGAATAGAAGATTAGTTTTTTTTGTGCCTTATTTACATACAAAGCCAATCTGGAAAGAGCTATTTCAGTGTTTTGGAAGACATCTGAATTAATTTGCTAATTTCAGATCAAACTGTAAAACACATGGACTGGTCAAACTTTCACTGGGTTTGTTCTACGTTTTAGCTTAGGTGAAGTAAACATAGATATAAAACAAAGTTTTCACTTGAGGATGGTACATTGCAGTTCTACGCTCTTTCTAATAATCAAAAGTTGCTGGATTTGTATTTTTTCCAAAGCCACAACAAATGGCAAGTCCCATTCTTTATTTAAACTGCTACTAGACTAACTCGGGTGTGACGGTGTTCCTAGATTTGAGCTCCAGCTTCTGAGATTAATCAAACAGCAAAAAATACTAAAACTCTAAGAGCATAACAAGTCAAATGAGCAAAATACCAACACTTATTTACAAAATGAGGATGCAAAGTGGTAAAAGGGGAGGATTGATTAAATTGGGTGGCCACTGTAATCTATTTATTGTTGACTGAAACACATAATATGCAAATATATGCAACTTGACTCAAATTCTGTCGTATTTCTTTGGAAAAAAACTGAAACAAAATGCATGTAAATGGAGTGAAATACAAAGTTTACATGGAATAACATTATTACATGGAATAGTAACATTTTATTGTTTTATGATCATTAAAATTTAGGGGGAAAACTGAATTATTAAAAAAAAGAATATGCGCTAGCAATGCAAATTATTGGCAAAAGGGAGACTGATTTATGTCTGCTCCCTAGTAAACTCTAAAATACATTTTACATGTAGTGACGCAATGGTGGCTATCTTGTTTACAAGTAGGCCATCAAATCAAAATTTTTTTTAGGATTTCGTTCAACCTTGGGCAAGTCTTGAAATAATAAATAACGCGGACGAAATGGGAGCCGGTTCCCATCTTTTCGGAACCGGCAACGAGAGTCTGCTCCGTTTCGAGCGTCACATCCATGGTGCAGTTCCCCCTATGACCAGCAGGTGGAGCTGCAGCAGCGCTGCTGTCCATGAGGAGGTGTTGCTCAAACGTCTCCACTTTGTCCATGATCCTGACGTATTTCCTGGGGCTTGTGCCGACCACTCAGCGGTACACCGGAGGGGTATCATGACTGTTTATCATCAGCAGTTGTCTTTTACGCCTTCTTCAGTCGTTTCGCCGTGTCGTCGTCGGATTTAACACCGCAGTGTGAGACAATAAGCCGCAGGATCGAGCAGGATGTAAAGGAAGCTGGTAAGTTGAGCCGTTGGTAAGTTTACCGTTTGCTTTAGCTTGTTGTGTTTGACTTGTTCTGGTCGGGCTGCCGACTTTCACCGAGCCAGCTGCCCCCAGTTACGCCGAATCCCTGACACTTAGGTCCAGGCAATGGCTTATTGACTACGCTGTTGTCAGTTTGTGGTGTTCTCCCAAAAGGAGGGGGGGGGGGGGGACCCCAAAAAAAAAGGGGGGCAACGTCGACTACGCCGCGTCCGGTTTCTGTGGTTGTTCTTGCGGACGGTAGGAAAACTGCTGCTTCCGATCCGCGCTGCTAAATCGGTTTGTGTCCCTAAAAAAAAAAAAAAATTGCGAAACGATCGTCAGAAGTAGATAAGAGGAAGGAGGAAGGAGGAAAAAAAAAGGGGAGGCACCTGTGAGAAGGAGCAGCGTGGCGTCAAGTTTGCGTTGATCACTGAGCGCTACAGTTTCAGACATATTTGTCAAGCGGAGGAGTCATCATCACCATCCTCATCATCATCGGATCAGCTCCAGCCGCAGCTCCGAGCCAAACTGTGACTCCGTGTTGTTGTGGCGAACTGGAGGACTGAGGTGAGTCAACCCCACGGAGAACTCACAACAGGGGGCGAGGAATCAAAACCCTGTAACTTAATCTGGTAAATATTGATATTTTGAGCGTTTCGGGGGCCAGATCGAGGGAGAGAAGTTTGGCTCTTCCTCTTCTGTGCTGCTGTTTAGCTCGGCTCTCAGCAGACTTTTGTTGGTTCTCCGTGTGTTTTTCGGGGACAGCGTGATTCATCTTTCAGGGAACTTTATGAAGTAACGAAGATAAATCTGGTTGTTTCAAATCGATAGGGGAGGAGGTTAAGGCATTAGTTTCTGGTGATGTATTTCTCTTGATTATCAAGTGTCAGAGTTGTTGCTGCATTGGTATGAGAAGTGACCTCCTCCTGTTGTGTTTATGTCTTGCACTGTAATTTCGAAATTTTCAGCTGGTGATCATTATGGATAATCACAGAAAACTGTTTTTTTTTTTTTTACCTACAGAAAACTGTGAAACCCACAGTTTTCTGTAGGTAAAAAAAAAAAACAAGACCAAACAAATACAAAAATTCACATAATGAAGTATTTATCCCAGAAAACATGAAGCCTCTCAGTTCAAGACAAAAACACGTCGCAGTATTTACATATAAATATGAATGAGGGCTTGTTTCTGCTAAGAGCTGAACCCTGTGTCTTTGAGAGTTTCATTAACTCTTGTTATAACAAGGAGAGCGATGTGACATGAGCAGCGTTCCCCCCCCCCCAGAGCTCTGGCTGTTCGCAGGCAGCCACAGAACATATAACTCTGCATCAGAGCCACACGTCCTCCTCCCATTTTCTCAAGATGACCTTCACGTTCCAGCAGCCGAAGTGAGACTCAGAGTTGCAGCAATTTGTTGACGTCCGTCAGACACGTTGCTCTATTTCACCTGGTGATCAACTGTTGCGTATTGAGAATACTGACAAGTAAAATTTTTCCTACCAGTAAAAATGAGCAATTTGATTTTGATTTACTGAGTTCTTCTTATGCTATTACAATATTTAAGTTATAATGGAGTTATCTCTCTATTTTTTTATTTTTATTTTAATGCATTGATTTAAGCTAAATAAATGTAGGATAGCTTTTTTTTTAAAGTGTGTATTGCTCAGTTTTAGTTTTTTCTGTTTTCCTCTTTATATGTTTTAAAAAGCTCGCTAAGTAGCTGGGCTATCTGCTCCGGTAGTCAGCCTGCAGTCAGCTGCTCACATAGCTCAACTACTGTGGTTTTAAAACTGCGTGACTATTATTCTTTTGTTTAAACTGTTGTTGTGCTTCCAAACTTGTCCCTTTTGTTATAAGCAAGGAAAACATGTGGGAGACTTGGGTTTTTTGTTTCCAACATTTAAATTAGTTTTTTTTTTGTATATAAAATATATCAGTTTGAAATGAAACAAATATTTAAAACATTTTTTTTTTTTAGACAGCAAGCTGTCTTTATTGGTATCTTCAACAAAGACTGTTGCATTTGTGCCTGCTGATGTATAAAAAATAAAGTTCAGTCTGAAATGTTGGCGCTTTTTTTACCGCCTAGTTCTTCTCCTCATGTCTTCAGGTCTTGTTGCACTCACAGTCAGAATTCCCCAAAGCCCCTGCAGCCTCTCCGTTTAAAAGGAATCCCATCAAAAAGGCGTCTTATCATCGCCTTTAATCAGGCACGTTTGACAAAAAGGAGTAGAGCTGCTGTTACTCTTCTTAGAAATGATGTGACTGTTGCAGATGACGTCTCTGTCCTCCGGGGACTCTCTCCAACAAAGATACAAACAAGCTTCTTCTTCTGGGCTGTGCTCCTGTCACTTCTGATAACGCCTTTCTGGAAGTCATTTGGATCCAGACCTGCTGCCTTCCTTCCAGCGTCTGAAAGCTTTTTATGTCCCATTCCGGCCGAGCGTTTCCGACGCAGGCTGAAAACGATTGCTAAACGACGGCGATCTTCGGTTTCAGAATCAGTTTTATTGTTAGGCAGGTAGTTTATGAAGTTGCACATTAAAGACTCTGAAAGGTCAAAATGATTTTTTTAATTTATTTTTTTTATGAGATGCTGGAGAAAATGTAGTTTTCTTAGCCATGAGGAGCAGACCTGTCCTTTCCTTACCTGCTGCTGTGCACTGCTGGACACTTACACTTTATTCATATAAAATACAAATTTGGTTGTTTAAAATTATTTGAGGTAAAAAAAGAAATAAAATGAAATGGAAATTAAGAATGCCACCCATTCCTTCTTATTTAGGAAACTTTGTTTTAAAAATACATTTACTTTATTCCATATATTTCCCTAAAATTTATGTTATAAGAAAAAATATTATAGCTAGAGCTGTGCCGTATTTGGAAAGCATGCAATTGAGATGCAACTATAAAAACATTGATGTATTGATACGAGTTGGAACCAACCCACCGTTTCTTCACTTGTCATATTCTTTGCCATCATTGCAGAGGAAGAGAAAGGAAAAGCTCAGTCTGCTCCGCCGAAGCGGCAGGAAGTTCCATCTGAATAAACGGATGCATTATTGGCATTTATTGGACTTCAAATCATTAACCTGCTCTTTTTACATTTTCGGTTTTGCACACATTAATTTTGTGCTTATGATAGCTATTCAGTAAACTATGCGGCTTTAATAATGACTAGTATTTTTTTAAGCACAGACTCATTTTAGCAGCAGTAATGTTAGTCGATCCTTTCTGTTTTTAATCAAATCAGTGAGATCATGCTGTGTGTTTTCCTTAAAATGTTTGTGTTCGCTCCATGAAACCAAGACTTTTTTATTTTACTTTAATTGAAACTGGAAGCTGGATTTTTACATTTAATTGGAACTAATTAAGGATTTTTCGGATAATAGGAGCTCCTCTGGTTACGTAACACCTGCAATGCTAATTATAAAGTGACTTGCCGTGAATGAATAAATTGCTCATTTGTATGTTGGTCCAATAAACAAACCACAAATTTTGCATAGGCTAATATGCGCTGTCCTTGTTATATTCATTCATGTATTATATTCATAATTCAGCCCTTGGCTACACTCGCAGCCTATTATCTCCAAAACACTCTGGAGAGTTTTTTTTTGACTGCGGAGAACGTAGTTCATGTGTGTCTCGGTGAGCGGGCCGACAGTAATTGCGGACTTAGAATAACTTGTTAAAGGTCATGTTGACTAAACCCGCTGGAGTTTGTTTCTTCTTCTTCTTCTTCTTCTTTTTTTTTAATCTCATTAGAACATAAACAATAAACCAATGAGGTGTAAAAACTGCTTCCTTACAAAAACTGTCCTGATGAGATCGGTAATGAGGTCACAGTTATCTGTTGGGGTTTAATGATTCTTGGCTAATTATGATACAGTTTCAACGCATTGTCAGGCTCTGACCTGCGCCGTAATTTACTTCAGGGAGCCCGAGGACGCTAAACGTGGCGGATGTTGGCTCCTCTAGCGTCTCTTGCAGGAGTTCGGCGGTCTGTTGGCCGTGGCGTGTGCACTTTTTTAGGCTGACGTTAAGGAAACTGAGTGGTTAGCTGCGCCGATGAGGTCACAGGCTCCTGCAGTTAAATGTCAGCGTGTGTCTGAAAATCAAACAAAAGCCTCGGGAACATTCACACTCTGTTTGCTTGTTGCATCAAAGGACAGAGGACAAAACTGAGTGAGTTATACACGCAGACTTTTTGATGGGTTTCTCTCTTATTGTAGCCTCTTTGGAAGTTGATGTTTTTAAAAGGTTTGTTTTGAAAAAGGGTCAATTTGGTGTTTTTTTTTTTTTTTTTTTTTGTTTCTGTTGGCTCAACATTGACACAGGTAGATTTGTCTCTGTTGGGAAGCTATTTATAGAATAAAATGTAGGCCTTTGTAAAGCCTGACTTGGATTAGCAGCCCGTCTTTCCGGGACAGAAACAGGTTGACCTGTTTGACTGGTATTTGCTGTGGACAGTTGCCTCATAATCTACTGAAGGAAATTTACAGTACAGTTTAAGACACTAACTCTTCACTTTGCTCATGGACATCTCAGGATGTTTTCATCTCTTTATTTTGGTTATAAAAACGGTTTGAAATTTCATTTTAGTGCTTTGAAACCAACCCAAGTTGTCAGGATTTTTCTTGATAGCTACATTGCGCACCAGTACAGACCAACAAAATGACAGTGGATGGGAAGGTCTGCTCTGATCCATGCAAGAGTGAAAAGAGCAGATGTTTCAGTTGATGTGTGTTATCTGATCAGCTGTTTCCACAATGTGCGTTAACACTTGGAAAGGTTTGTTGACCCTGTGTAGCACGAGATAAGCCACATGCTACCGTTAAACCATATTATAAAATTTAATGGTCGTATTAACTTTTTCCCGTCTTTCAACTAGGCAAATGTGTCTTTATGATCCAACCGTCACTGGGTCAGATGTTTTCTGAATAAACAACAGTCAATTATTTGCTTGATGTTAGTGATGCACCGATTAACCAGTCAGAAATCTGAATTCTCAACCGTTAAACACTGACAAATGAGAGGCAAATCAGATACTGAAAAATGTTAATATTCCTGTTTGCTTGAATGCATCAAAACTATGAACTCCCACCATTCGTAACAGAAGCACATTAACTAAATGCGTGTTCTTCAAGACACTTTTATTAAGTTTGATTAAAATAATTTGCCTGTTGGGGATGTGAGCTTCTTGAATAGGGATGATGTTGTAATTCCTATGTATTCCTTAAGGGAGAAAATCAGAATCGGTCAAATCCTCAGTCAGCGAGTCAGACCTTAAAGGAACACAAATAATAAATAAATAAAAAATCCTGCTTCAATCTGCACTTGAAAATGTATTGCTTTTGGTTTTAGAGACGTGATGCGATCACTTTTTATTCTAATTGTCCCTTAATTACCCCATACACTGAGATGCTCCTGTGTTTTTAATTTGAAATAACAGGTTTTTATAAGAGGAGAGAAAAATGAGCCGCCGCTGCCTCTAAACGCATTATTCTTTCATTGCAACATATCATCATGGGAAATCTTCTGGAGCTTGTTTGTCCTTCCCGAGGCTAACACAATGGCTTACATGGGAGAAGTGACTATATTGCTTATAACACCTGAGTAAAAAGAAATAGGTGAGAGCCGCGGCTCCACCATAGACACCACTGGAGATCTCGTATAACTGCACGGAGAGGGAACTGCACAATAGGAGCATTGTGCTCAGAGAGGTCTAGTCCATTCGGTGGCACAGCGGCTAGCATGACGGATAATGGTCTGAACAGACAATAAAGCTGACCCCACAGCATTACTGCAGAAGTGTGTCAGCAAACAATTAAACATCAAGCTAAGATTTGTGTCTGGGTACAAAACCTGGTAGCAGAAACCTAAAATGAGGAATTGGGTTTTCCATCTTTGTTTATAGCGCAAGGCTATCTTGCAGCATGCTACAAGAAAAGAAAAAAAAAATAAATAAATAAAAAGTGGAAGCACTAAAAATTTCTACTTTGTGGAAAAAAAAAATCTCTCCATTGCTTTTTATGTGCTGTCCTTGGCTGCAGCCTTTTCAGTAGCTGCCACCGCTGCCTGAGGCGTTCACCCTCGAGAGGCTACTTCACTTCCTACTGAAACGGACTCTGTTGTTATCCCTCAGCATCCAGGGTGTGGTCCTGCTTTCCAACCACACTCCTCCACCTCTGCTGCCAACTCGGTCTACCTAAGCATTTTTCTTTTGCAACCTTCGTTGACAGTAACGTCCCGTGGGAGTTTGGAGGCCTAAATTTGCTGCCGTGTGCCTGACCACAATATCAGGTCCGCTCCAGACGCCCCGCTCACTGCGTCATGCCGGATTGTTAAATGTCTGTTCTTAGCTGGGCTGCTCAAACCTGCTGTTTTGGAACTTTAGTTGTTGTTTTTTTTTTTTGGTTGATCCAAAAGCAAATAAGTAAATACTGTAAGTTATATGATTCGTTTAAAATCTGGTGTGTCCCAGGTACATTTAAAAAGTTTTTTTTTTTTCTCATATGATCAGACCCAGGCCACTTTGTGATCCTAAATTCTATATTTGTCGAATGTTTTCTAACTGTTTACGTCGCATTTTATTCGACTTTCATACCAATGCATGCGGCACACTCAGGATTTTGGAAAACATGAAAGACTGGGATCAGCAATAGACAAAAGAAGCATGTGACTGCCGCTCTATATTTACAATCGCACGCTTCATCCGTTCTTCAGAGTTTTAGTTTTCAGCTTTATCTCAGCAGAACAGCGCTTCTGCTGAAAAGCTAACTTCCTCAAAATCCTGGTTTCTGTCCTTCAAAACAAAAGGTATCCAACAGCAGTGTTTACTAGCAACATTATAGCAGACAGCCTTGATGGAGGAAGTCCCATTTTGTCTATTCTGATAACACAACTGTCTATCTATGGAGGGCCAAGAGGGAAAAAATAAATACATAAATTCTTCATTAAGTCATATACCATAAAACATATACTTAAGTAGATGTTTATTACATAAATTATCTAGACAACTGATGTATTATCATTAAAATGTAGACATTTAATAGCTGATGCAGATTGTTAATTAAATGTAATGATAATTATTCCTAGTTTCTTGTTCTGCAGTGTCACTGTGACACAATTTTATTTGTCAAGTTTGGGCGGGGCTTACATGGATCTGTTGAACTCCACCAGGGCAGCCTCATTTTTGTGTCGGCCTTTGTAATAAAAGTTTTCCCTTGAGCTCTTTGGAGAGAGTTTACAATTAGCAGACAACTCGGAAGCAGAAGATTATCATCCAGATTATGTGGCTGACAGATCCGTGTAAATGAATGATTTAATGGTAATCAATAAATGTAATGTTTATTAACATTTTTTTAAAGCATTTTATTAAACATTTATTTTATTTAACGTAATATTTAATTAACTCAATGATGCATTTATTTGATTTTGTCCCTTGTGGCCCTCCATACGTAGCATTTGTATTTGTGTACAACTTGCTGCATGCAGCATGCCAAGTGTGTTGCATGCGATGTTGCATCCAACACACACGACAGTGGAGTGACGAGTGCAGTCCAGGTCGCTCCAGGACTGCAGGCTGGTTGCAATGGAGTCTGATGGCAGCTGCATTAAAATGATAATATGAAGAGCACAAAAAAAAAAATGTATCGGCATAAAGACTTGCGATATGAACAGTTGAGACAGTTTGTCTTCTACTTTAATCTAGCTTAATGTTTCCTTTTTGTGCAAAACTAAATGAAATACTATAAGATACAAGGTAGGAAAGCAAGGAGATTTGGTTTGTTTTAAACTTTTAGAAAACTGTGTGTCCCGATTATACCTCATATTATCTCTGCTCAAGAACAAATAAAATGTTCTTGAGCAGAGAACAAGTAGTTGCACATATATTTAAGAAATGTTATACTAACATGCAATTAGAAAAATTAAAGACAGTATACCTTTTAATATATTTTAATACACTTAATCTATAATATTGTAAATCTGTCTTAATGTTTTTTTTTTTTTAAAGAGCCAAAATGTTCAAATGATATTTAAGATGCAGTCTATCTTAAATGCATCTACATACATTTGATACAGTGTGTCTTAAATGGTTCTTTTTTTATATCTAACTTTATATTAGAAACACATTCATGAAATTAGTAGCCGGTTTCTTAAAATCAGCAGCTGTCGTGTTTTCACCCCTTTCTTTAGTTTTCTATATTTAAAACTCAGGGAAGAGATGCGATTTGTATCTTTTTTTCTTGTTTTTTTGTTTTCTTCCTCCTACATTTGGGTTAACACGGGGTGATAAATCTTCTTTGTTCATACTGGACCCAGTCCAGCTTGCTGTTTTGGGACTTGTACATCGGTTCTGACGCTCCGTGGTTTCCCCCCATCTTCTTTTGTTTCTCTCCAGGTGAGCTGCGACTCTCGCTGCCTTCGACTCCCTGTGCACCTGCATGTGCTGTAAGCAGCCCCGGCCCGTTGGAGAGCTGCTTCGCTCCGTGACTGTCCTGCTTTAGGAGAACCCATGGCTTCTGGGCCTCCATCTCCCTCCATAGGCTGCAGGCTCAGGCTGCTGCAGCTGCTAATCGGGGCTGTGTTTGTGCTGCTGGTGTCCGGGTTTGGATCGGCTCTGGGTCACAAGGTCTACACCAACACATGGGCGGTCCACATACCCGGCGGTCTGGAGGAAGCTGACCAAATTGCCAAGAAACATGGCTTCATAAACCATGGACATGTAAGTTGTTTGGGCTGTTTTTAGTGTAGTTCTTTAGCTGCTGCCGGGATATGCGTCACTGGTCGAGGTCGAGGTTACCAAGGCCAGGTTTTGACTATGCAAATAAGAGATACCTGAAACCTGAAGCTGTTGCACACAGTATCCCATTACTTTGTAGCTAATATCCGCCTTTATTTGCTATTAGGGTTCTCCAGAAAACCCTCGAATGCTCTTTTAACCCCTCTTTGAAATATTTATGGATGATTTTTCATTATTTATGTTCATTTTTTTTTTTTTGTGGGAGGACAGCAAAGTAACATTATCCCTTTCTATTTTTGCTCATGTTTCCTTCCACACACACAAACCTTGAAATGTTCAAAGAGTAAAAAATCTCTCCTTTTGTGTTTGCAATGAAACCACCTTGCATTGACGTTTTTGTGCAGGTGCTTCATTGTTGTGCAGACGATATCTTTTACAGGTGTGTCACTGATCTTTCTTTTCTTGACAGGGTTTTTCTTCTAATGCATTCAGTTCACAAGAACAGGTGTGTTCCTGGGTTGTTTCTGTGAAGCTTTAGAGCTTTTGAATGTGAAAAATGCTTCCAGGTGAACAGGTTAGACGACAAGTCCAAGAATACAGTGTATCTACATGGAAATATGAAAGCTGACATGGAAAATGCTTTCAAACTTTGGATAAAAAAAGAAAAATTCACTGTAAATAAAAGGTACATTTCGTCACACATGCATGTTTCAGACCATGGAGCAAATTTTAATCATATGGCTTACAAAAAGTGGCAATGAGTGAATGAATCCCGGTTCGCACTTCTTTGCAGAATTATTGTTTTAAGAAGCGGTACAACACCTCAATCAAATTTAAGTGGAAACTTCTACTAGGCAGCTCTAAAAGCTTAGTTTTTTTTGGAGCCGCTGAAGCTTCTGTATGCATCTTTTTTTTAAACAAATGTGTCTCCTTACATGATTGTTGAAACTGTCCTCATGTTGTAACAGTGTAGCATCAGACAGTCTGTGAAAAAAAAATCAAGCTCCTCTCGTCCTTCGTGTGTTCCTACAGCCATCTGCAGAAATACACCACTCCCGTTTAGAAACAACCAATCAGAGCCAGGGGGAAGGATTTGAGTTTTATTTATTTATTTTTTTTTAAATTGGGGGCATGGTGTGTTGCTTTTTGAGATCATGTGCCCTACACCACAGACAGGCTCTAATTAAATGATATATGATTGTGTTGGTAGTTAAATTGACCTAAATACTTGTGGTACAGTGATTCATCTCAATTGCTTCATAGTTTTACAAAAGAGGCAGTTGCAATTTCTTACACGGCAGGTAAATTCATTTCCCCCATTATTAGTGAATCGTTTGTTGTATTGATTCGTAATATATTTATTTGGTCTTTGAGCTGAAAAATCCAACTGTGATGCAGGAGATTTCTGAATGTGTGCTAAAGAGGTGTAGTTAAATCGATAATTTGCCTTTGTACAAGTCATAAAATAGCTTAATGCCTTTAAGTAAAAAAAATAAGAATTTTTTTGTGTACTTTAGAGAAAGCTCTCAAAGTGACTATGACTAATTTAACCAGCTGAGCCAAGAAAACTGTAATCTTTTCCAATGTGTGTGGGTGACGTTTTCCTTCTTTATGACTTCCTGCTTGGCTCCATTGGAAGCGAATCAGCTGGGTTATCATTTCCCATCATCAGCTTCTCCCATAAAAACAAATACTGACGTAAACTAGTGTAGCCTTTAGGCAGATGTTGCTGGATATGTTTGTTTTTTATTCAAATTTCTTTTTTCTTAAGAACTGCTGAGCATCAAATCCATGAAGGCGCTTAAACATCCTGCAGATATTTTACTTGTAAAAGCAGATGTCATGATTGTTGATGTTGATTCTAGATAAAAGGCTACAATTTAATGACTGGGTCTCTTAAATATTTAAGAATGTATTTGATTTGTGTTCTGCTGTTTGCACGTAGCAGTCTTTATATGTTAGAGCTCAGTCTACCGGTTTGAGCTTTTTGCAATCGAAAACCAGAGAACAAGCAGCTCTTCATCCAGATGTTTAAAGTCCACCATGTCTCTGCTCTAATGGGCACCAGTGTTCTGTACTGCACCATATGGCCCGACTGGTCGCATGGGAAAGATGTTAATTGTGCTCTGTATCATAGCATGAACACTAATGAGCAACCCTACGCACTTAAATCCTTTAAGTATGCATTTGCTGCGGAAAGCGGGGGAAACACAAACAAAGCAACCACACCTGGGTGCTCAGAAAACGGCTCCCTGGAGAAGAGTCCCCGTGTGAGCTTTGGTCGGACTCGGCAGCTTGCTTCAGATAATTTTTGATATTCTGAAAGCTGGGAGTTGGACTTTTATGTCCGAGCTGAGCTGGACTGATAAGCAGCTCTTGACAGAGTGTCTGAGGCCGTTTCTGCTTAATAACGCTGCATTAACGAGGATATCTAGGAGGATGCTGAGTAAAGACTTGAACAGCCACTGAAGTGAAAACAGATGTGATCTCTCCCAGTATTCTTTCTCCATGACTTTGATCTCTTACCTTGCATGCATCTTTTTAAATGTTGGCTAATTAAACCCAGTTAGGACCCATCACACTGTTTAATCAAACAAATAAACAAAAAAATCCCCCAGCCACGTCTTGTTGAATCATTGAAGCCAACTTGTGCTGTTGACGACCTCTATTACTTTTAACCTTATCCACATGTGACTCATTTTTACCTCACGAAAAAAGTAAAGTCAAAATATCAGAGTTGTTCAACAGTGGAACACTTAATCCTTGCCAGAAGAGCTACACGTGAATGGTGTTCCCTGTTTAAAATGAATTGCAGAATGAAAATTTAATGAGCAACAAAGCTGAAATAAAGCATGAGGATGAATCTGGTTCTGCTGATGCCACAAAGTAAAGATGGAGTTTATGTTTGCCGGGATTCAACAGCGGAGCTGCGCGTTAACTGTCAACTGTGCAACAAAGTGCAATTAAAGATGCCACCTTGGGCATTATAAAACTGATGTACATTTCCTCCCTTTATGCTGTATGGGCCAAACAATTATAAGATGATAAATTAATTAATTATGAGGGTGATTGCCAGATGAACACTATTTCAGGAGATTTACCTTTCCAGTTTGGACAGGTACCGTTAGGCCTTGGCCTGGTATATATAAATACTCCGTTCATTAGCTTTGAAAGGCGAGCTTGATGATCACAAGCAATGACTTCAATAAAGATGCTCTGATGCGCTGCACTGTCTAGATGGCATAGCATTTTTGTTCATTGATTAAAATGAAGCTATTAGTTTAGAAATGGGAACAAACAAATCTGCAAAGGTTTTTTGCCCCACAGCTGATTAGAAATGAAAGTTGCTGTGTGTGTGAGTGTGTGAGTGTGTGTGTGTGACAGACTGTAACATATCTGAGCTGTGAGTTTCTTTCCTCTGGTTTGTGTTGGCGTTGGACAGGAGCCCTGCATGATGGGATCAAAGACCAGCTGGACAGGTGTTTTCATTCCACCTTCACTCACTCTGTTTGCAATATGGCATCTATAGCTCTTCTACCCTAAAGACATGGATTATTTATTGCTCTCTGCCGCCATTCATGTCCACACAAGAGACACATTTCTGCAAATATAGAGTTTGCTAGCAACAGATCCTACACATCAAAATTTCTTGTGAAAATTCAAGCTGTATTTTCTTAGATGCTCTTGAATGCAGTTAAAAACAATTTCTTTTCAAAGCCAGTTTTGGTTTTCCTTAGGCTTTGCTGTAACACATTTTAAGCTATTTTTAGCATACTATGCTAGCAGTTAGCCTGATTAGCACGACTAGCATTACCTTTCTGTTTTCATCAACCAATGTAAATCCTTACCTTGAGTCTGAGATTCCTGAAAAGAATCAAATATTCCCAAATCCAGCGCCTTCCACACCAGATCGATGCTAAAAGCAATTGTGCTGTACTCTGGTTAGCCTTCCTGTTATCTTCTGAAAGTCTAGCTCTCTGTCACAGCTTCTTTTTACATGGCCTTGTACGTCTCTGTGCTTCTCTGACTTAATTTCAACTCACATAATCTCAGCATCCACACCTATCAGTTCAATCTGGTAGAGTTTAACCTGCTCTGTTTACTGATTAAAAAAAAAAAAAAAAAAAAAATCATATTTTTGAATTTCCCACCTGCTGGTGCCCCAAAGTTCAAGGCTGATTGGCGGAAGAAAAACATTATAAATGGAAAGAAGTGACTTTTTAATTAGATTTTTATTTTTGTGTATTTGATTCTCTAGTATGATGTTTGGTAAGCTTGTGGCTATTTGTTGTCGCATTTATTGTCATGTAATGGGCTGACATAAGCATTTTTAAGTTAAAGGTATTTTATGTAACAAATATAATTTTTTTTTTTTTTTTTTTAATATGCAGTCAAAAATTACTTCCAAACGTTTCCTTAATTAACATTCTGTAAGGTTTGCAAAAGGGACATTTTTCTGCAGTATATAAAATAAAACTAAATCTTACGTCAGATCTGTGTCCGTTTAAGTTTTCATTAGGATCCAAATTAATAGTACAACAAGCTGTATCAGAAAGTGTAAATGTGGGGGCAGAAAGCAGGGAATGATGGGGATGTTTGCTTGATCAGGATCTGCTACTTGTTTCCCTTGATGTTTCTCTTGACTGGTGTAATGGATCTGTCCTTATCATTGGCACTGTTGTTGAGGTCAAAATACATTCGAACCCCATTTTGTTTTTCTGTCCCTGCTAATCGATAAAGCTGAGCTGGCTGGTGCGAGTGGGTTGTTTGATGGTGTGGAAACACCGAAGCCCTGTTGACTGATGGCAGTTGGTTATAGACATTTCTGACCCACAAGTGCACTAACTGTCAGGATTAAGGTGCTGCCTCGTTGCTCTGTCATTTGTCATCCTCTAAACTTTGTAAGTCATCCACTTTTTTGCCCTCTGGTTCGTTTTTAAAATTGTTGATGTAAAAAAAAAAAAAGATTAAATGTATTTGAA